TGACAGACACCATACTGCCAATAGTGCATTATAAATATTGTATGGTGTCATCTTTAGCCTGGCTCTATAACACTTGATCTACCATTATTCTGGGTTCTTAAGCGACCATCAGCAGATGCCGTTTTGGGACGGTATCCAACACAGATGTGGCTAATTTTACTGAATACAAAACATTCATGAATACAAAACATTCAACCGACATCTTTCCTATTCCTACATTTCATAAACACATTTGGCAAAATTGCCATTCCGACAGTTGTCGAAACTTGTAACAGCATAGTTTTTGAAGATGCCAATACTAAATTTCACGATATAGTTTCTTGCATATCTTGATTACTCAAGTCTTTCATATACTTGAGAGGTGTTTTGCCTGAGAGTGTGTCTGACCTAAATAGTGGATAAACAAAACTACATACTATACTGGAGTGCAGCCTCTAGTGGTTTGGGTCTGCCCTGGGTAAGGTCAGGGACACATGGTGCCCTACTGTCAGGGACAAACACTAACTATAGTACAGTCTACAGTTAAACTTATGTATCTGGTATGGTAACGTTTCATACTATTCAATATACATGAGTATCTCTCAGGAACCTTTCTCTGTCATAGTAGCTATCACGACAAACGGTATAAAAGTCCAATGTAGAACAACGTAAATACTGAAAGAGCTAATGCAATTGGACCTTTCAAAAGTTGATGAAACATGTGACATTGATTTTCATAACAATACCAGGAGGAAATGTGCACAAAGTTGAGATATGTTTACTGTGATGATGTCATTTGTGAACCTTTCTGATGCAAAGAACAAAGGTCCTTGGCATGTGATTCCATTTTTAAAGATTACTCTGTACAAAGTTGACGGTTTAACATCCGATACCAATAAAAGGGAATGGTTTGCTGTCTTCGTTATTGGAGTACAAATTGGCACAAAACCCACTTCATGGGACTTTTAAATGATACTTTTTTGGGGAACAAGAGATATCAAATACCCTCTTGTACTGATAATGATCTAGTTCCACTTATCATTCCGCCCTTAAGAATATGACTACTGCAGAAAAGAAAAGGCGCAGTACGTAAGGCTGTTCATGGCGTAAGAAACTTGACGTGGAGCAAGTTGCAGACTAAGATTATTTTTTCTGTGTTGCCATAAAATATTCCAAAAAATGCTGCAATTCTTCCTGAAATTGAAAACAACAGTGGGCACACCCTGTATAATCAGTTACACACCCTCCCCAAAAGTAGAATTGAGCAAGCATTTTGTCACAAAGTAACGTACACGTTACACTAATAAAGACATCTAACCGTGCAGATACTCTATATATTTTCATGGTAAGAAAACATAAGTTGTAACTCAACTGAAGGGAAAAATCAAAGACAATTAGAGGATACATTGTACCTGTTAGCGTGTAGCTAGTCACCCTGGGACACACGTGGGGTCAAAATGCAAGGCCAGAAACTGGAAAGACAACTTTGACACTGCCTTATTTGTATTCAAGTCTCTGTCATGATTTTCCTCACACAGAACATTAGCTCCTTTGTACAAAACAACTTTACTTGTTCTCTTTGGCAAAATATTAATTTTGCACAATGACAGTGAGAGTCTGTCAACTTTCTTTTTCTTCTTATCGAATAAGAGCTCTATTTTCTTTGTTCTTTCTGTTTTTTGTTGATTCTGTTTTGAAGAATTTTGAATATGATGCCAGACTACCAGTACAGACTTTGATAATTTGAAATCATTATTATTGAGAACTTGAATTTATGAAAAGACAATCATGGTACGTAAATAATTCGGTCAGCTCAAATCAGTATCATATGACAGTGTGCTAGAAGTAAGAGGAAAAACTGTTGATATGCAATTTCTGAGCCATTCAGTTGTGACGTTTTGAAACACTATAATCCGAGACCACCATAAAAGCACTTTGGCAAATTGTACGTCGACCCACTATAAAATCAAGATGCTGGCTTTTACGCAATAGAAACTGGCATGTGATAGCGGTATCATTTAATGGTGCTGTATTCAAACTTAAAGACATTGCTACGTCACACAATATAGCACTCTCTACTCTCTCAAAAACATCTTTTTATCCCTCAAAGTTTCAGGGAATATTAGAACTATGCTCCGAAAATTTTTTAAGTTTTACAACATAAAAAGTAACATAATGGGGGGGGGGGGATTACTGACGGTCTCCACATCAACTCCTTCCCACCATGTATAATGAAAAGTCCCTAGCTTCAATGTCAAAAAAAGTTGACCGACGATTCAAACGTAATTTTGATCGTTGACTTGAGACCCAACATTGGCCTACCTCCTCACATTTATCAACAAGAATAACATAAATCTAAGAAAGTAAACATAACTAGAATTCCAAGATCTCATACCTCCATGAAATATGATCTTGATATGTAAATGTAAATTTCTTCTTTAATTGTTCAAATGACCTCTGCATTAACATGATATATGCATCGTGATGTATGTTAACTTTTGATTAACTTACAGATGTCCCAAGTATGACATTCTCATCATTCACCATTACGAAATCATAGAATTTTCACATTAATTATGCAAATTAGGTCATCATTTGCATAATTAGTATCTGTTGAAGTTCCGCCTGCCCTAGGTTACATAGTATAATGTAAAACACTGTAATTATAGAATTTCCTCATTAATTATGCAAATAAAGTCCTCATTTGCATAATTTGCATTTAATTATGTACATCTCTCTCTCTCAGCTACCTACACACCAAAAATAATGAAAATATGTTGTTCCTGTCTGGACTTATTGGCTTTTAAACATTTCGCCAGAAAGTGCCCTGCAGTTCCAGAACAAGCCGCTAGGGGGCCCAAACTCATATGACTTCTTCCCAAGCACGAGAGCTACCTTCCATCAAAATTTCATGACCCTAGCATGTCCAGATCGCGAGATATCAAAACCGGAAGTTGCGCTGCAGTACCAAGGGAAGCCACTAGGGGGACCAAAATCTCATCATTTCCAGTTTTTGTCACACCCTACCAACACACCAAGTAAGAAACCAATCCATCCAGGCGTTCTTGAGTTATCTTGTTGACCAACAGACAGACAGACAGAAGGAAGGACGGATAAACGCAACTGAAAATAATATAACCTCCATGACACATTTCATGGAGGTAATAACGCAAATATCTAACGTTAAATTAACATTTTATCGATAATCAAAACTAAAGAGATTCTGTCATGGATTTTCTGCTGTCACAGAAAATGTCCTATAACGGCTCCGTTAAATCTATAACGCCATTAATACATGTAACCACATTATATACCACGTGTTATCCACGATGAAAACCTTTACTTAGAGATTCTATCATAGTCTTTAGCCATACATGTCATAACGATGAAGGGCGAAAATACTGTTACTAGTATATGATTGTGTCTTACCTGAGTCACAAAGATCACTAGCCTGAGCCTCCACCAGACCTTTCTACGGGAGTATGGACCGTAGAATTCGGCAAAAAGGAGAGTAAAATTAGCCGGTGGAGTCTGGCCGCGAAAGGCTGTTTCCCTACCTCTCAAGCAAATCAAACCTAAGGAAGCCAAAACTCCCCGGCAAATATTCTCCAATATAGTCAGCGGAGAACAGCACAGTGATTTGCAATCGGCAAACGTTTGTCTTCTTCGCGATCTGCTTCCCGTTTCACACCAATGATAACCCTTACTTTAGAGTAAACAAATGAATCGAAGTAGAAATACGCTCTAAATATCGCCTTGTTCCCGCCCCTCGTTCAATGTCGTTGCCAAGGAAACGGCAGGTTCGTACCGGACTCAGGGGCGTCGACGTGCCCGCGAGCCAATCACAGCGCACAGACTGGGACCCGCCCACCGAACCGCGGCAAGATGATACTCGTGCTCCGACCCATAGACTCCGCCCGATGATTGCAGTAGATCAGCCTGCCAATGTAGCGATTTTTTCCGCGCCTCGGCCCTGCACGAGCCATTGTATTTTGTTCAACACGATTTCGTCCCAAGACAACATTTTTCACAACTAGCGTCGAGGATGCTAGTTCAACAGTGTCCCGTGTGAATACGATTTTTCACCTGGTCAACTTTTATGGTCCGCGACTGAGTGAGTCTTGATCAAAGTTTTGCATTTAAAACATCACAGCGTTCCAGGGCGGCGTGTTCACTGCGGTCACCTGCGGCAGCGAATATGGCTAGGCTATGTGGAATGGATTTCAGAATTCCGTGTGTTGCAGGCGATATCTTGTCCGGCAAAACATTTGAAAACTACAAAGCTGCCGGGATGTCCTTTTAAAATACACGAAAACGCCCTAAATGCGACGTTTTACCAAAGCGCTACCCATAATACATTACGGATTTTACGCAGACGTAGCACGTTCTGCCGACGTGTTGGTTTGATATGCATGGTCTGGTATCAGAAGATGGCACGTGCACTGCTTCATCTACATAGAAATTAATTGACTTTGTCTGCCCATGACGTTAGAGTCGTTTGAGTAGGCCATACAATGAATATTGCAATATTCAGGATAGAAATGGTTCTAAATGTGCTAAGCACTGATAACCAATCAAATTAGCAACATCATCATCGTCGCCACATTTCAATGAAGAATATTTTAATATTGTCCTCCACACTGTCTTGTTTTTTTTCATACTGTCTGTTTTTTGTTGTTGTTGATACCCATTGAGCCCCCTCCCATACGCATTGACGTCCCACTTATCCTTCTTCCTACTACATTTATTCTATTCACCAACTTTTAATGTAAGGTCACACCAAGTAAATTTTATGGATGATGTCCTTTGGAGACTCCAAATCTAATGCGAGAGGGCGAAAAAAAAAACAAGAAGGGCCCAAAAAAACAAGATGCCTAGATTAGAAATATACTAAGAGACGACACATGTTAGGACACAAATTGAATGAGGTGACAGAGTGTAAACAAGCAAGAAGTCTTTTATTCATCATCAAAACAGTAATGAATCAGGTGGAACAGCAGTTGTCCCGTTTTGTTTCTTTCATCACATTTTGCAGACCTGCAGAAACAAAGCATAAAAGGCAAAATTAGTTGCTGATTAACCCTTTGCATGCATTACTACATTTCTACCTATGCAAATAGTCTATAGGAGCGTTTGAGAAAGAATATCAATAAAGGTGGAACCAAACAAAATATGTTTAGAGCTATTCTACATAAGTTGCGTAATGTATTTAAGTAGGTAACAAATGTATGCCTACCTGACAAACAGGGTTTATTGTCTGGTATGCAGCAGTCTTCTCTGCCAGTATGGGCAGCGTTTCCTCCTCACCACAGTTCCAGCACACCAAAGGCAGCATCGTCTTCATCACCCCTGACTTCAGTCTGGCTGAATAGTAGTACTGTGCTACTGGTGAAGTGCATGTCACTGCCCTACATGAAACAGGTGGAAAATTATGGAACAATAGTCAATTGTGCTAAAATCCAACTCTTCAGAAAAAACTTCTTTTTTTTTCAACATAAAGGTTTAGGTTCTATGTTGTAGTTAAATGTACGTCTTTACTGTCCCCAAAGTGCCTTAAATTTAAAGGGTATATTCTGCAACAATCCATATCAAATGTACCTCACTACTCACCTGTGTTGTTATTGCTACATTGTTGTGTGCTCCCAGTCCCGGCGTAGGCTGGAAACATCCACTCCTGCTGACCTTCTTCTCTTGATGCTTTCATCATACCTGTATACATGTGTACATGTGAAAGGAAAAGTAAACCTTATGTTCCTAGTTCACAATAAATGTGTCTTAATGCAATCAAAGAAATTGAAGAGCAGACAACGTTACTAAATTGGATATCAAGGCTAAAATGATGGGGAAAAAGAATTCTTAAGAAAGACTAAAAATCCCCCCCCCCAAAAATAGTACTTCAAAAAGAGCTTTGAGCTTGAATGCGTAGCTATAGATGCCAAAATACCTTAAAAGTCCGACTGAAAATTAGCAATTTACTTGCCAAATCTGAACCAAAAATTTAAGAATAAAAAAAAACACATATTTTGCCAACATCAAGAATAAATAACCAGAAACGAATAAACGATCATTATCCATGCAAAATACATGCGAGGAGCCTTGATACATGTAACGTTATGCATTTATTTTATACTCCCCTTCTAGGAATATTTCACCCGTGTTTTTTTCCGTACAAGGTATTCGATTCAAAACAGACTTTTCATACCTCAAAAGCAGTCTTAGCCCTAGGAACAGCTTCAGTCGTAGAAGCTGTCTTGTCGATCACCATACGGATGAAACACCACATCAAATGCCTCCCGACCTTCTCGTCCTAATTTTGCAGAAGAATTGCACTGTAGCTGATCTTGACAAAACTTGCTTGAAATTGTATGGTCGAAACTCACTCGCCGCTACAAGTCTGTCGTACAGTTACGAGAAAGTTAGCTCTCCCTGGCCTACATCGAGCACGCACCAGTCAACAACAACGTTTCCACACGCTTTTACGACCTTAACGCTCACATACTTAGCGACCAAGGGTGGTGAGCCCGCCATCTTGCTTCTTTGAACTGTGGCGCGCGGACTCTTGTGCGCACGTACACCATCGTTTTGCGGCACATGTGCTCTTTGCCCATTTCGCGTTAGCCTGAGGCTATTGACAGGATCGTCCTGTCAACAGCAGGAAATACTGCACTGCTGACAGGATCGTCCTGTCAATAGCAGAAAATACTGCACTGCTGACAGGGCGATCCTGTCAATAGCAGAAAATATTGCACTGCTGACAGGACGATCCTGTCAATAACAGGAAATACTGCATTGCTGACAGGATCGTCCTGTCAGCAGTGCCATTTTTGACACTGTTGACAGGATCGTCCTGTCAGCAGTGCCATTTTTGGCACTATTGACAGGATTTTTTAAATCTTCCATTTTGGGCTCTATCGACATGATTTCTTCTTTGTTTTCATTTGTTTAAACCAGTCAGAAGGCATATGCTACTGTACTGCAGATTAGGCGTTTCACGATGGCGGCTATCATCACGTTAACAGTTATCAATACAGAGTACTCCAGCAGATATATGTCAAAACTAGACATGTTCAAAATATAAATACAAGCGAATTTCATGCATAAGCTGTCTGAAATACGAAGGCGGTTACATAAGATGAAGACAATAAAAAGACAAAAGAAGTTGATCTCTATCCATTATTTATTCTTTTAACAACTTCGAAATCAAATGGAACAAATCCAGGAAAGTACCGCTGGTGTGGCCGGTTCAGCTAGCCGGCCCGCTAACAACAACAGCCCCCTGGCGCGCGTATCCAGCTGGCCACCGAATTTTACCGGCCCCACTGGGCCCCACAGTACCGGCAAAGGCACGCTGGTTAGTGTTACTGGGTGGGGGGGGGTTGTTGTGATGCTGCTAGCACGCCTGGCGGTTATCCCTGGGTGCCCCAGAGTCCGGCGTTTATTTGGCGATAGATTTCGGGAGAAACCGTATTTGTCCGCTACCATTATCCACCCAAACCCCTTCGTCCACGCGAAGCCCTCTATAGAAACGCCTCATGCGCGAGGAGATATTTAGAATTTAGACCCAGTGTGCCAAGTAGGTCTGTTGGGAGTATGGCTTCCCGTGACTTTTAGGAGATAGACACTCGCGCGCGGGGTGGCACCCAGGCTAGCCCGATGGGTACCCGCCGGTGGACCGCTGTGTCATTCCCGTGGCGTTGTTCAGTTTTATCAGCAGTGTACATTATATACAGTGTACATGATACATGTCGTTTTATTTTGTGCTTGTCCATGCTGTAGTTATGATGCATTTTTGCATAAATCTAGATGTACATGTACATCATACCATGCTTACTGTCGCCCCGACTAGCCTCTACCAGGCACCGTGGATCGCTGGAAAAATAATAGAAATTGGCCGAAATAAAGGGAATATATACCAAGGGAGTTAGCCGACCTTATTCCCTTTATTT